CTGTTTTCCTGGCTGCTTGTTACAATCTGCTCGGAGAGAGCTAAAGGTGGCTATTCACACCAGCTACAGAACAGTGGATACATGGATTAATTTGGTTTTACTGCTGGTCTAACGCACAAAAATATGCTTTAAAATATCTCTTAACATAAAAAAAGACTCACCTTCCACTTCCTTCGGGCATTGAACTTCTTAAAGTTCTTCATATTAATTGAGGATCGATTTCTTTTGGCAATCTGTTTGGGTGTGATGGGCTGAAACGATGACAACATGTAAAGCTGACAACACGGTAACACAACAACAAAAGTAGTGCAGAAGAAATGACAGACTGGTGCTAACCTTAATCCATGGATGAAGCAGACACTCCTCAGCTGTCATTCTGTCTCTGCAATATGACGCGTAAGGAATGATGAGAGATCATTATTTAGTTTTATAGTCCTTTTCCATCAGTACCTACTCAGATTGATCCGTTTTAAATTACTAACAACCTCACCTAATGGCGTGAGGTAGTTAAAACAACACGGCCGAACATCCCATGACGTTATTTGTATGCAACATGGACGCCGGACATGGAGGCGACGGTACCGACTGCTCGATGTGTGGCTTTCTATCAGGCCCGGGGTCCCAGTGTTGTTTTTGTTGTGCAACCATTTCTCTCGTTGCCGGGTTTCAAAAACGGCGGTTTTGATTTTTGCAAACGAGATGCTGGCATGACTCATAGAGTGACCATACTGACTAGCCAATGCAGTCTGTTGACGTCACATTTTTGGATTGCCTTGGAACACTTAGGTAGGTACTAATAATGTACCCGGTACCAGGTACCCAAAAAGAATCTAAGTCAAGTCAATCTAATCCGAGTAGGCAGTAATGGAAAAGGACTATTAGTTAATATATTGTAATAATCCTTAAGCAGATTTTGCTACAACCTAAACTACAAACTAAAGTAGCAGGAAAATAAAGTTTGGCAGAACGTTCCATGATTTCTGGATGCTGTCAAACAAACGAAAGAATATTAAGATAACAATGATTTAAGTGTATTTCACATGACCTTTGGTAGATGAATGCATTTGTCTTGTCATAAAAATGTAAAATTACTTTCACTCCTCTTTCAAACCATCTGTCTTCTGCATCCAAACTGTAAACATTGGCATCCTCGAAAGAGTGATCTTTATCTGTTAGGTGGAGAGATGAGCCTCGCACTGTCGAGGTGACTCTTCTATGTTGTGCCATGTGTTTATGGCTGTTTAGTTTCACCAATGTAGAGGTCTGAGCACTCCTTACTGCACTGCACAGCATGCACTACGTTGTTTAGTTTGTGTTTTGGAGTTTGGTCCTTAGGATGAACCAGTTTTTGTCTGACAGTGTGGCTGGGTCTTAAGTACACCGGGATGTTTGCTTCAAGAAAACTTTCCCCAATCTTTCTGACAAACGTTCCGTTTGTCATTCTGTGTCTCGTTAGTTGGTGTACAGTGCACACCAACGAGCTGGACGGCCACATTTACACTATGGATACCTGCTGCTTAGTGTGAAGGGACTAGTTGACGTGAAGTCCTAATCTGGATGTTCACTATCACATCCCTAATCACTGAACAGAGGAATACATTAAATTTCAGACTAATGTGCCCAAGTAAAATATTTTTATGACATACTCTGGATTCTTCATCAACAGTTTCTGGATGAAATCTTTCGCCATGGGGCTCGTCAGGCTGAAGTAGTGCTCATTAAACTCATATTTCATGGCGATGACGTTTCCCAGAGTCTCTTCATCATTGTCGCCTTGGAATGGTGACAAACCACTCAATCTGAGAAAAGACAATACACTTTAGGAGTGAAACTACAACATCTTCATCTGAGCATTAAAACACATTAATAGTTTTCTTTTCCTTCTTTCTTTCTTTTTTTTCTTCTTCAATTTCCCATCTAGTATAAGTGAAAAACTTTACCTTTACTTTTAAAGGCTCAAATACAATCAAAAGATGTTTGTATACAATCCATAAATTATGTACTTTAGAAGCCACCCAACATACAAACACTTACAACTTACAATATGTAGGTAATGACTCCAATGCTCCTGAAGAAACATGAAACAAGGCACAGGCAGACATGAAGCGTAAATTAAAAACAAAAAAAACTCTACTGTATGACAACATGTAAGAAAAACACAGTTTTGTTTAAACCCTGTATAATTGTGTTTATTCTGCTGGGACCAACTCAAATATTGTGCAGAGAGTAATGCTCACGACAGGCCTGAACACGCTGGAGCTGAAGGCTTACCACATATCTGCTGCTGTACTCAGAGGCTGGCAGTTGATGACCTCAGGGGCTGCAGAGGTGGAGAAAGATAGAGAAATTGTGTTGGGTTGGTTATTAACTTAGATGATTCGATTCTAAATAAATTTAGTAGAATATTTGCAGAAGTAAAGCTCCTTAAACTTGCAACAAACACTTTTGTTGGCAGCTTTTAAGCACGTAAGGTCAGATATAAACACAGTATCTCTTATCCTCCACTTTTAAGTTGGTGTGATAGCCTCATGAGGAATCTGTTGTTTATTTTCACATGATCAAGAAACTGACCTCACAGCCCATTGTTCATCAATGGTGTTAGGTTCAGTCATTTTGCAAATGTACTGTTTATAAGGTTGGGCAAACCTCCAGTCAGCAGAGACTACAGAAGTCACTTGGATGACTGACGAAATGTTTCTTCCACTGAAAACGCTACGTCCAGATGAACTGAATCAACTTCTTTGGTTTACTTACCTGGATGAACGTGCATCATCAAGACATTTTAATGCATTTTAACCATCTGAGACGAGATGTTTCTCATTTTAGAGATATTGCACAAATGAAGGAAAACAGTCCTAACCTTTGTTTAATAAGCCCACTGAAGCACAGATCCTGGTCAAAAAGGATTCCAACATTCCTCGCAGTATTACTGGAAGCCAATGTAATGCCATTCAGATTAAGCAACTGGTCACCTACCATATTTCTCAGATTTTTGGGGTCGAGTACAAGAAACTCAGTTTTATATGAATTTAGAATGGTATGTGTAGCCACATCCAGATTAACAGAATCAACTTTTTGGAATTTTCTTAGCTGGATAATTGTGCATGCATCAACACAACAACAACAACAACAACAACAGTACATCTACATTGCTAATAAATTGCAAAATGTACGTTTATCTCCCTCACTGAAAACCAGACTGGCTGTGATCACAAAATAATAGCCTATGTAAACATTTGAAAGTAATGGGGCGATCGTGGCTCAAGAGTTGGGAGTTCGCCTTGTAATCGGAAGGTGAATATAAATGTAAAAAGCTTCAGCAGCACAGCAGAACATTGAAATGACCGTTATTCATTTGTCAGATTTATGACTACAACTGCACTCAGTTTCTCAATAATAACTAGAAAGTGTTTTCACACTGTGACATTTCAAGTCATGTTCCTGATGGCCTGTCAGAGTCATTAAAAACACCTCGGTTA